AAAAGCGGTCAATTCAATATAAAATATTTCCAAAAAATAGTGTTGACAATTTATTTTAACTAATCATTTTTAAATTTTTGATTTTATGTTTTATAATTTAACTCTCCAGTCTCCACTGCTTTGATGTTTTATCGATTTGTGTTTTAAAAGACAGAACTATGGTTAGGTGGCTGGTGGTTGTGGCATCGAGGATAGTAGTTGAGATAACAGGACTGAGATTTTTGGTAGTCATGGTATTAGGCAGTAATCAGGATAAAGGAGAAGTACCAATTAAATTTATGATTTACTACTAAATTCTGTGCATATTTTTTATCTTAACACAAAAATCTGGATACTGATTCAATAAATGCTTAAAAGTTGACGTTAAGAGTACGTCTAACCTGCCGCATGTGTTGTCTCCGTCTTACACACGTACGACCTAGCAAATTATCGTTTGCTAGTTTCAATAGGGTATTGTCAGTTTTGATATTAGAGTGAATCCACCTATTATCAAWCWTTTAGGTAGCAACATTATCTGTGTTCTCTCGTTGGTTTTTTACGATATTTTAATTTTTAAGTGAGTTATATGTATGTAAATTTTGAATATTTTAAAATGTTCATAACTCACTTGAAAATTAAAATATCGTAAAAAACCAACGAGAGAACACAGATAATGTTGCTACCTWAAAGTTTGATAATAGGTGGATTCACTCTAATATCAAAATTGACAATACCTTATTGAAACTAGTGAATGAACATTTCCTATGTCGTGCATGTGTAAGACGGAGACAACACATGTGGGTGCRACRTCCTCTTAATCTAATATTGATCAGATGGGTTTTGACTTAATACGCTTACATCAAAAATATGTCCTGAATTAAGAAGTTTTTAACCATTAAAGAAATCWMTATTATTGTGTTCTTAGGTATTTGATTTTAAAACAAGATTATTAGTAGTTGTTGAATCAATATTAATTTTTAAATTGTGGCATGAGAATATATTTATAAATTATAAATTATGTGTTTATTGAAACATGTATTTGTAATTTGTTAATAATGATACACAATTCATATGAATGTGAGTTATTATATTAATGCTTACAATTATTTATTTATTAATTAATTTAATTTTTTTATTTACTTTAATTAAGAGCCCCCCCCCCACTCCCTAGTGGCAACCATACAATGTATATAGTATAGGTATATGACATATAATTACTAATTACATAATACATTATTATATATTATAAAATATTTTATTTATATTTACCAAAACAAAATCCCCATGTGCATCCATATCTATAATGCAAATCTTTAAGAACCTTTTCTTAGTACATCCTTACATTGTGATATGAAAGTACCATAAAAATTTCAAGTCTCTAGCTATCATAGTTTAGGCTGTATTTTGATTAGTCAGTCAGGTTATCTTCTTATTATATACAGATATAATATAATATATGTTTATATATATTATAACTTTCATTTTATTAGGTAAAACCTGTTAACATTTTTTTACACAATAAGCACATGTGAGGATATAGTGATTTTTTGTACTTTCTCACTCACTAACATAAGGKACTAAATTATTTATAGAAAAAATCTTTGTTGATGTTTATTTATCTGATTACATGGGATTGAAGAGACTGGTAAATAATTAAAAGCATAAGTCCTCAGCACCTTATTTAACATTGTTAAACAAATGTAGTTATTTTTTTTTTAACTTTTATCTAAAATTTTTGATCTTTTTTTTWTAAAACATAATATGGGGTACTTGTTTGTTAACCGGGGTCGTCATTTATAAAATATATTTCATAAAAATATAGTTTACAAAATGTTACTGAAAAAATTTCTTGGGCCCAGTAGTATATGAAATAGACAATTATGTGTGTTGGTACTTGGTAATCTAGAACCAGTTAGCCAATTATTAACTCTTGAAACTTTTCTCCTTCTGGCWACTTATTTTCTGATACCACTATCACGATCCCTTAACAAACATTATATGGCAGATTTTCACCCTTCTCACTAGCTTTAATTACATTATTACTTTGTAAAAATATAATTCCAGTATCATTGTTGAAAACAAATGTAAGTAATTCACTAAAATTTGATGAGTTAGGTTAAAAAATTGTATGAACAATAACAACACACTAATACAACTATATGGCAGAATGATAACAAACAATAGAAGCGGAAGATACATTTTRTACGGTGTACTGAAAATAACAAACAAGTACCTAATATGGTCACCTTACTCAAAACATCTTTGGGCTTATATTGAATAATCTTCTTCTTCTTATCGTGTCCAGCGATATTGAATAATGTCTGAATAATAATATTGGATGATGAACATAAATTCTGGGATTAATACTACCATAATTTTTTTCTGTTTCTTAGATATTTTATCCTAATTTAAAAATTTTACATTTACTATGTATGGTCATRTTATATACTTTCTAAATGTTTGATACATATTTATGTTTTTGTTTAAGGAATATATTGAATAATGACAAGTTCAATGATATATTAACATCAAATATAATGGTTGAAACAAACTTGTATGTGATGTTCAAAGTAAAGAAGGGTGGAAAAATGGCTTCTAATTGGTGTGTTCCCAAGGAGCAGTTTCGTTGTTTCCGAGGTAAACAAGTGGTTTTGAGATTTGATCAACCGTACGATCAGATCAACGCAAAGAAATATGAAACATGTTGCACCAAAGATTATTTAAATTTTGAAGTATTTGTTGATTTTGACAATGAGAAAAGTGTAAAAACACTACAAACATTGAATAGTACATTCACAAACAGTGTCGTCGATTGGTATTTAGGAAAACATCATATAACTGGTTTTAAAAATTACAAATACAATGGAATTCCTATATCAGATACTTGGTTGAATCCAACAATCATTGATCATATGGTATCATAACCTAACCCATGTATAATGATAGGAATTTTTTTAGACAATTTTATTTTTTACATAATTATAAATTGAATTTTTGGCCAATTATGAATCTGACTATTATTTAATTGTTTATTGATAGGTTTTTTTTTTTTAATGTATTGATTGTTTTTGTAAATTCCATTTATAAACAACTTATGTATTAACGTATGTAATTATTGAAAACCAATATGAATATTTTTCTCACCAATACAAAAATTATTGACAGTTATAACAAAATTTCAAGATAAATATTATTTTTAACGAAATATGTAAACATAAATTAACAATATATTAGTTTTTCTTTTTAATATTGTATTGCACTATTTATTATATATATATTTTTTTTTTAAATACATTTTTTGATAAAATACTTGTCGACTTGTTAATAATATGAATTTTTAAAATATATGCTTGAGTTTTGACAAATTTTGTGAAAATATGTTCTATAAACAACTGAAATGCCTTTAAAAAATGCATACTAATGTATCACTAAACTTTTTAAATAATATGTAGT